AAATGATTTTAGGGTTAAGGTAAAAGAAAAATGAGGACCATATATTTAACATTTTGCGGCGTTTTAAAAAAAATGCCACTACATCACATACTTTTACGGCGTTTATAAAAAAATGCCACAAAGGCGCTTCCCCGGGGATGCGCTTTATATGGGTTCTGTTGAATCAGATGCCACGCTGATATTTCTTTTAATAATAAAGATTTTATTTTTATTATTATTATAAATAATTAATATATTATGTAAAGTGTTTCGATTATAATTTAAGAATTATCTAATATATTTTTTAAATGTGTGTTAAAGGTAGAGCGAATTTAGGTTTTAGTGTTATATGTTTCCGGGACTTTGACATTCACCCATTCCACACGACATTAATCGAATGGAATAATAGATGAAAACAAGCTTTGATCTTATTGTAGTTATAGGAAAATATATGAAATTATAATATTACACGTATTGTTTTATATCTATTTTTTTATTATCGATCTATTAATTTTATCACTTAATTATTTAAATGTTATCAATCTAGTAATTTGGTATCAATATTTAAAGAAAATATTGATGCATAAGTTAATAAAATTAGTATAATTACACATTTAATCTTCAATAGTTACATATTTTATCAATTTAGTCTTACTTTTAATTTGTTTAATTTAACATTTTTTCTCTACGTAGAAGGTGGAATTATTATAATATTTTAAAATTAATAATTAATTTTTTGTAATAAATAATATTAATTATTATATTAAATAAATATCATAAAATAATTTTTAAACAAAAATTAAAAAAAAAATTATTTAGGTGTACATAAATTGAGAAATTATAGAAAATGCAATTACATTTAAATATTAGACACAAAAAACATTCATTTAAATAGAATATTAATTACATAAGGGTTAACGGTTATGTGATGATAACAGAGCTGGACATTTTTTTCTATTGTGCCCGATGTTTCTACAATGCCCACATAGTTTTTATTTTGTTGACTTCTCCCGAATATTCATATCACAATGTATTCTAGTAGATTTTGGATGACCTGAGTCCCTCAAAAGCAATGGATCTGGTACAATTGTAAGCCAAGTTTGAATATCATCTGGGTCTCTTTCGTTTCCTATGGGCGGAAACTCAAATTCATATACCTTGAATACTTGTGAAAGTTGGTATACGAGATCAACATAATTTTTGTAGTTCAAATGTGAATGTGAGCAAGCTACAATGACATGAGAGCATGGATATTTGAGTGCTTGAAAGAAACCACAATCACACCATATCTCTTGCAGATTAACTCTGAAAGAGTTAGCTTCAATCTCTTGCAACGGACGTGACATTTCGGTTACACGAAACAATTCACGGGTATGAGAAAAATTTGTAACCAACATCCCATTTGATGCAGGCATTTTTTTCTGTAAATCAGCTACTAGTCTTGGGTGGTAAATATGGTCGTTTTGTATCCAAGTAAGAGCTTGTCCACCGAGCTTTGCAAAGAGTTGACCCAAACGAAAATAAGTCGTTTTGACCAACGCCGTGACTGGTAAATGACACGCCCCCTTTAAGGTTGAATTTATTGCTTCAGCCAAGTTGGTTGTCATATGACCATAGCGATACTCCCCGTTATACGCATTTGTCCACATTTCTTTGCTGCTGTCCATAATGTACTCGCACCCCTTCTTATTTTTTTCAAACATCTCTTGTAGCATAGACTCAAACCTTTGAGGTAAGAGTTCGTAACCTAAGCCATTAGGAATATGTAATAGTTAATATGAATTATAAATAAGTAATACGAAAATGATAGAAAAATTGGGAAAAAGTAACATACCCATCCGCACGACTAACTGACGTTCATCGTTCTTATTGTATTTTCCGTAATAGTTTGCAGCAATATGACGGACACAATAACGATGTTGAACATGTGGAGGTCTATACATTGTACCCAAAGACTCCATTGCTTCTTTTATCCAGACTCCTCGGTCTAAAATAATGCATACTCGTTCCCTGGTGACACCATGTAAACGTAAAATTTTAAGGAATAAAGCCCAGGACTCAGTGTCTTCTCCTTGAACGAGGGCAAACGTAATAGGAAGAATATTTCGGTTTCCATCTTGGACCACAGCCAATAATAAAACTTGCTTGTATTTCCCATACAATAAAGTACCATCAATTTGGACAATTGGTTTACAGTACTTGACTGCATTAATACATTGAGGTGTCTGTGGAGAAGGACCACCAGCTAAATATGATGCATATGAACCATATGTTGGATCATTAAACATAATCGTATATGCACCTCCATATGGTGTCATAAAACCCTGCAGGCTAGGCATGTAACATGGCGGGCTAGGAATGTAACCCTGAGGGCTAGGAATGTAACCCTGCGGAGATGGCATATACACTGGTGGGCTTGGCATATACCCCTGAGGAGATGGCATCTGAACTGGAGGACTGGGCATCATCATCGGTGGATAGGGATGTTGTGGTGGGACTGATGCAGAACCGGTAGCGCCTTCTCTCCGTCCACGAGTCGGGGGACGATGATATTGAGACGGTGGACGTCTCTCTAGGGGCCTAGAAATGTTAACCCCTCGTGTTTCCGCCAAAAGTATAAATGACTTTCCATTTTCATTAAACTAGTCCATATAGTTATCCGTAACCATATGACCAGTTTCAGCGTAATATTGTCGAGGGGCCAATTGTGCATACCGGTTCTCCCAAAGCGCAATCCAATCTCTGTGTGTCTCACCACCCAGTTAACATCTTTCTTGCCTCGTCTATCTATGTTATGCATGTCGTCTAAATTCCTAGGTGCTCCAGGAATATATTGCGTACAATCAAACTGACGGAGCACGCGATCAACTGGATGCCACTCAATAATAGCATAACATATAAGAGGTACAATTGACATCCATACCTCTAATGACCCACTCAGGTGGGGTGGGATGCAAGCCTTTACTTCATCGCTCACATAAGATATCCACTGAGACTGAAATATAAATATACAATTCAAATAAATATAATATTCTAATTATATCTAACATTTTAAATTAAAATATTCATATTTAAACAGATTTCAAAACATACCTCAGACCCAGCTTTTGTATCAATAAGTAAACGGATTTCCTTTAGTCCAGTAGGTATATCTCTATGGTTCTTTCTTTTCATCGACCACCTATGAAATATAATATAAACTAAATATCACTCTATTTAATTAAAAATATTTAAATCAAAATTTAGTTCGAAGATTACCTCAATAATAAAGGGAATATGTATGGTTCATTGACGATCGGGCATAAGAAAGGCATGCAGAACCACACCCATGATTGCAGAAGCAAGAGACATCCACCGATAGCAGTTTTCTTATAATTTGTCGCATGACACATTTCTTTAAAGAGAAATGCCAAAACTGCAGCGCCCCAACTATATCTTCCAGCTTCATCAAAAATCAATCAGATGCCGCAACCATATACAATGCACCTGGTTGTGAGATTTGTCGGGCATCAATATTCCTCCAATGATTCGTAAAATATAAGCCTGAGCACATGCCTTTACTTCATCATATGAAGCATTTTCATTCAGAACTTCAAAATTAGCTTTCAACCATGATAAAGCTATTCTACCTCCATTAAACTCTAGCGGAGCAGCTCCAAGATACTCCATGCACATTGACTGCCAATCACCATCCGCCATACCACACATAATATTCCCATCGACGGGAAGCCCCAGATGCATAGAGACATCCTCCAATGTAATTGTAGCCTCTCCACATGGAATATGAAATGTGTGTGTCTCAGGCCTCCACCTCCCAATCAATGCAGAAATTAGAACAGGTTCGAGTTTGCAACCGCCAATAATTGTTGCAATATACCCGAACCCAGCAGAAGACAAATATGGCAAAATATGTTGCGGTGTCGGTATACGTGGGTTTTTAATAAAAGTCTCTAAAATACGATCATTTTCCAAAATAATATGCATTATAAAAATTTATGATTAATATAAATTCATTATAAATTTAAATTAAAAATAATAATAAATATTAACAATAATTATAAAAAATATATTATCATATCACTAAAATGTCTGGAGATATGGTTTGCATCCAATCGTAGCAGCATTTCACTTTCCATTATAACTGTAGACAAAAAAAAATAATTAGTAAAAAAAATAATTAATTAATTAATTTAAATAAATAATAATTATATAAATATTATTTTAATAAAAAATAATATTTATATAATTATATTACTATAAAATATAAAAACTATTTAAAAAATACTAACTTAAAAATAAATTTCTTACCACTAATAAGAAATTTAAAAGTCAAATAGTTGGAGAATTTGAGTTATATAAGAAAGGAGAAGATGATTTTGGTGTGAAGAATGAGAGGGGATTGAGGGGGTTTATATAGGGGAGGAAGAGGGGTAGTTGGGGGAAAGCGGATGGGTGCATTTATGGCATTTAATGGAAGGCGCGTCCCTGGGGATGCGCCTTCCCCACGTGGCGTCCGATCCAGCATAATCCCGTGAAAGTGCATCCCCGGGGATGCGCCTTTCACACGTGACATCCGACTCAGCATAAATTCAGGTAAAGCGCGTTCCTGGGGATGCGTCTTTGTGCCACCTCAGCCGAAAGTGTGTTATATCTGAAAATATTGGTCAACGGGTGTTAGAACGGGAGAATTTAAAAAAAACGAGTCAGTTAGATCAAATCGCCGCTATTTTGATGTGTCTCTTCCATAATCTCTTTTAAAACTTAATAATGGAGTTGATACTTTTTAAAATAGGGCCATAATCTATCATTCCTAGTTACTTTGTGATCATATATGAAAAAGACATTTTTTTCTAGCATTCCTTGGCTATGTAATATTCTGTAAACCTTGTTATTTGACATCCTATCTCAGGGATCAATTTCTTCCCGGTCTCAATCTTTGCTTTTCCATTCATCATTACTTTTCCATTCATCTATGCCTGAGAGATATAAAGAATATTCTGAAAAAGGTTGGACTGAGTTAGCTGGTTCAGGTCCTGCACCTTGGCGGTAAGAACCCAGTTTGCTCAGTTCTTCTGTTTCTCAGCCTGAGTTGCATTCTAGAGTGCCCTATGAAGTTGGTTTATCAACTGGCATTGACAGACTAAATGTCTGCGACAGGTCATCTACTCCTTCCCTGGAAAAGAAGAAAATTGAGGACTTCTCTGTAAGGTTAATGAATGGAAATCTAAAGCCTGGAAGGATGGATATACAGGAGAAGCGAAATGCAGGTTTAGAAAACTTTTCCTTGTACCGATCATTGTAGTCTTGGGAAACATATAATAAGAACATTAATTCTTGCATTACCTGTTTCATGTGAATGTCACCTCACATGCTAGGACATTCATTTTATTCTGCAAAAATTGTTTATAAAAACTTGTTGGAGGCTGATGAGCCTTGTGTGAACCGTTTTTTTTCTTCCAGGAATCAATTTTGAAGAGCAGCATAAGTCTTGTTTGACTAAATTTCAGCAGTCTTCTCTGAAGGAGGAGCCATGTAATCCATCATTTGGGTTAGTTGTACCTTATACATCTCCAGGTGAAGCAAACGGTCAAATCGGGATTTCTGACACTCATTTGCGACCAAGCCCTCAACCTTCACCTGCCAAGCAATTTGATAATGCTCTTCAAAGTTGGCTTGACTCATCCAGTGAAACTCAGATTCGAAATGGGAGGCCTCAAGCGGATGGCCGCGGAAAAAATAACTTATTTCCTCGTTATTGGCCTAAGTTTACTGACCAAGACCTGCAGCAAATAACTGGAGAGTATCCTTTGGTTCTATAAGGTATTCTTGATACTTTTTCTTTTTTGAGAGACATTTACAATTTTCATAAAAACCTCCACCAAAATCAATACTCTAAGTTGGATTATTGTCTAAAGTATTTGTTGCAGATGTAATGACTAATACCTATGTGCTAATCACATGCATTCTTTAATTGCGTTGTTCTTCAGTTAGACTTAACTATATTTAAGTTCAAATTCTATAATCACTCCTTTGTTTGAGAAAATTTGTAAGTGCTAGTGTTGCTGGGCGAATTGGCGTCTGCCAAAAATATGTGCGGAGGTGAGTGAGTCATTACGCTTAGTCTAACCTGCTTAAAAGTTTTTAATTTGATTTTACATTTGTTTTAATAGCTTCCTAATAAAAAGCTTGGCAGTAAACTTCTTTTTAACATCAATTATCTGGATTGCCATTGTGACGTAGCAGGTTTTGTCTTTTTGCATTTTTGCTCTCACTTACCGGAAACACTCATCTAGTTTTGTATTGTTATTATTTCTATGATTCTTTTGCTTGAGTTAAATATGAGCCTTTTGTTTGTGTAGTAAATCTTTGATTCTTATGAGTTTTTTTCCCAAGTATTGCGACATAATAAAATTTACTTATTATGAGGCAGGCCCATGTCCCCCCAAATATCTCAGCCAGAAGGTTTACCTCTTAAAGTCCAGGATTCTAAAGGAAAGGAATGGATATTTCAGTTTCGCTTCTGGCCCAACAATAATAGCAGAATGTATGTTTTAGAGGGGGATACTCCTTGCATACAGAACATGCAAGTGCAAGCGGGTGATGTAGGTAGGTAACAAATCGATATCACTGGAATACATTGATTTAGGGATTTCAATCTTTTATGCTCTGAGACCCAAAGTATGCTATGTTCAATTTATAGCCATGACTATACATTTCCTGTGTCATTTTTACTCTTTAGATCCTTTCTTGTGTCTTTTAGTTTTGGATTTACCAGTTAATATACATAATGACAAGGTTTAGCCTATTACTCTAGTGATTATAGTTATGTTTCACACTCTCGTGCATTTTGTCATAACCATTTTTTTCGTAAAACAATTAAATATTATTTTTTTAAAAATGATTATGACTTTTATTTTGGAAAATGGGTGATTTTGGATTCATTTAGATTTAATTGAAAACGGAGTCGCCATCGACCTTTGAGTTAGGTAAGTCGAATACCTAAGAACATGTTTTTAATTTAAAAAATAATTTTAAGGAAAATCATTTTTTATAAGAATACAAGTCTGCGTTATCAGAAGAAAATTTAGGGGTTCGGAAGTCGGTTACGTCTGTGGAAAAGATAAACATCCACAACGCCCAAAATCGGTACTTAGTCGCTTATATATCGTCATAAATGATAGAACTTAAAGTTTGAATCAGAAGTAAAAATATGATCTATTTATTGAATATTTGTTAAAATAATAGAAATACTTCACTTGGTAAGAAATCTCAAGATTTGCAATCCTCCAACGGGAAAGCTATCTCATCTATTTCTCATCTATAAAGTATATTCTATCTTTGAATTACCACCAAATAATATCGACATGAGTAGAAAATAAAATATGCTTAATTTATCTAAAACATGTATCGTTAATATTAACATAAAAACCATTAATACAATAAAAATTATAAACATAGAATAATAAATAAATTATGATCTATTTATTGAATATTAGTTAAAATAAAAAAAAAACCCTTTTCTCGACAAGAAATCCCGAGATTTGCAATCCTCCATCGGGAAAGCTACCTCGTCTATTTCTTACTTGTAAAGAATATTTTCTCTTTAAATTAAAAAAATAATATCGAAAATTGACATAAAATGCATCATTTTTTTTATTTTTCCAAAACATACATCACTCATATTAAGATTTAATGAAGAAATAATAATAAAGATTAAAATTTAAATATTAAACAATATGAACATCAAATAAAATAACAAAAAAAGAATAACAATAAAAATAATTTCTATAAGCTCGTAAAAGGAAGAATTTGCGTTTTTATTTTTATTTTTTTATTTATCATATTCTGTTTGAACGTCGTATAGGATTGCATCACTTCGACCAAGTGATACTTTCCACGTCCGTTCTACAAATTCACGTTCTTGAAAGTATTCGAATAAATGACATTAAACATATTAGTCATTAAACAAACCTTTGAGATTGTTCAAAATATCAGTTCTAAGTACATACATAAATATATGAAGATCAGAATATGTTAAATAAATATATACATAATCCTAAAAAAATTAAAATATATTATTATGCATATAACTATTCGATATGTAAAAAATCTAAATTTTTGGTAAGTATATATAATACACGCATGCATGCATGTAGTAAAATGTATAAAATACAACACTATATGCAGACTACATAACATTAATATATATATATACAAGTCATGGATATATTCAAATATATGTATATGTAAAAAAAAAACTAATATGAGAATATAGAATCTTTAAACGAGACCACAAATAAAGGTAATTACACATACATAGTAATTAAGAGGGCTAAAAGATATTAATAATAACTTGTAATTCTAAACTGCAAAATCAATAACAAACCGGGACAATAATCAAATATATCGAACAATAGATGACCAAAAATGAGAATAAACCACAAAACAATATTCAGGATTAGAATAAAATAAAATAAAATAACATGCCATCATCATAAACTTGACCAAAAGCAAAATAATGTAAAAAGAGTGATTGAAGTGCATTAATGAAAACATACACTACCTAGATATAAACAAATTAAAGTAGGATGGCTGAAATTCAAATATGAACATAAAAATACAAATGCAGATGAGGATGGAATTATAACATAAAACAAAATGGAAGCTCAAAATATAAGAAAGTAAAAGTTCATTGATGACTAAAATTAAAATGTTACAAGATGAGGACCCTTCTGACGCGATTAAACCATACACCCAACACATGGAACCCTAGCACCCAATACTGCGTCGTTCCATTAAGTTGCTATATACCACCTTAAAAAAATGGGAGTCCTATTTTCAATTCTTCCCCCCATTCGTTCTCTACTCTTCCTCTCTCATTTTGCCTCTGTTCTCCAACAAAACAAAAAGAATGGAACCCCAAAACCAAACCCCAACCAACACAAAACCCTTACCTTCAGAGATGAGAGGCTCTTGGTCCGGTGAAGCGATGACCAACACTCCTTTTTGGTAAGGATTTTTAGTTCTCTTTATTTTTTATCTTTTTTTTTCCAAACTCGAATGCCCTCTCTTTGTTGCATGTTGATTTTTAAATCCTTCCTTTTTGGGTGAGATGATGAGGTCTAGAAAAAATAGGGGATGAGTCTCAGATTTAGGAATGGGTTTCTGATTCAGTAGGTGAAATTTTGGGATTTAGGGTATGGGGTTTCTGATTTGGTTATTTTTGGGTACTGTAGATGATATTTGGGTTGACGTTCTACAGGTTTTTCACTGTAGATGATGATTGTGGCGTGGGAACGATGGCTGGATCGTCGGGAATGCACCGGAACAGTGGCATCGGCGTGGCATTTCATCTGCCGGGGTGGCTGCTGATGATTAGGGTAAACCCTAATCTATGTTTGGGTTGCTGAGCGGGCCTGGAATTAGGCCTGTAAAAAATATGTATATTGTAAATAATAATAATAATAATAATAATAATAATAATAATAATAAATAAATAAATAATAATAATAATAATAAAGACCCGGATAAAAACGGGTGTCAATAGCTGCCCCTCTTTGCACATTCTTGTGTTAACAAGAATAGGGCAAAGACAACAAGACATCACGTTTTTGTCTGGTTCTCTCCCTTTTATGCTTAGAATTTAGATCATGTTTGTTGGTGGGGACGAAACTGCTCATACGCAATGAAGAGGTCTGGTCGTCTAAGGGTGGATGACACGACTCATACGTGATGAAGAGTTTCTGGCCATCTTTTGGAAGGGTGATAACTCGGTTCCTACGTGATGAGGACGACTGGTTATCTATGGTTGACACGACTCCTACGTGATGAGGAGATTTGGTCGGGGATGACACGACTCATACGTGATGAAGAGTTCTTGGACATCTTTAGAAAAGGTGATAACTTGGTTCCTACGCGATGAGGACAGCTGGTTATCTAGGGGGTGACACGACTCCTACGTGATGAGGAGATCTGGTCCGCTGATGTTAACTGATTCATTGCTTTGCTAATGAAATAGATCTTGAAAACCCTGTTAAAAAAATGGTCATATGACATGATTTCATGTTGTCAATATGCTCTAAGAATGATCTAAATGCATGTTTAAAGGGTTATGCTCAGTTCGATCCTGGCATTGGGAATCTCTCATGCTCTTTGATCGGAATATGCGATATTTATGCGTTTATCCATGCCTAGTTACTCTCTTGACCTCTCATTAAATATTCTTTGACTTGGTCCCTCCGGTCTACCCCGAGAGAGTTTATCTTGCCTCTTTGATTCTTTGGTCATTGATTGATTTTTCAGAAAAAATTCATTCAGAATGGCCTCTCATTGTTGCATGCCTTTAAATTGGGACTTCTTTGCTTGGGAAGAGTATGATTATGTTGAAACTGATTTCTTTGATTTAAACCCTTTTTTTTAATGATTTGTTTAATGATTGATGGGAGCGTGTCTTTGTATGTGCTCTCTGGTGAACACCTGTTTCAAAATCCCCATACTCTAACACTTTTCAGAGTAAGGCATAATAATCAATAATTTGGTGAATATATACAATGACAATGAATCAAATTTGACAAGTTTCATGGAAAAGAGGCAATGAGAAATTATAATCTTTTGGGGACAAGAAACAAGTAAGTACAAAGGAAGATCAAAGGACAAATATAGTGAATATCAAATGCTGAATCCTTTTACTTCTTCACCCCAAATCTTCCTTGAAAGTTGACATGTGTTTCGAAGATTCAGATCGTACAAAAGATGTGTGAGCATGAGAGTCTTTCCCTGAACTGTCAGGCTTTCGAGGGAATCCGCCATTTCAACTTCTGGCTATTCGAGCCGTCCATTACGGATTTTCAACTCGAATCCTCCTTTGGTTTCAAGACGCCCATTTTGGGTTTTCATCTTGAACCCTCCTTTATTTAATTTTTTCTTTTTTTCATTTTCTTTTTCTTCTTTTTTCATTTTTCATTTTTCCATCATATTTTCATTTTTTTCCCTTTTTTTTTAAGTGTAATATCGTTTGACCGAATCGGAATTCACGGGATTAGGCAAATCTTCTCCATCCATTTCTGTTAACACCAAAGCTCATCCTGAGAATGCCTTTTTTACAACATAGGGACCTTCCCAGTTCGGCATCCACTTCCCTCGAAAGTCTTTTTGCATAGGTAGGATCTTTTTTAGCACCATATCGCCTTCACGAAATTCTCGAGGTCTGACTTTCTTGTCATATGCTCGTATCATCCTTTTCTGGTACATTTGGCCATGGCAGATAGCTCTCAGCCTTTTCTCCTCAATCAAATTTAATTGATCAAACCTACTTTGTACCCAATCAGCCTCGTCAAGTTTCAACTCCATCAATACTCTCAAAGAAGGTATTTCCACCTCAACCGGTAAAACTGCTTCCATCCCATATACCAAAGAGAATGGTGTTGCCCCAGTAGATGTACGAACGGACGTGCGATAAGCAAGCAACGCAAAAGGTAATTTCTCATGCCAGTCTCTATATGTTTCAGTTACTTTTGTGATGATATTCTTGATGTTTTTATTCGCTGCCTCTACTGCCCCATTCATTTTTGGGCGATAAGGAGCCGAATTGTGATGTTTGATCTTTAACTTTGTGCAAACTTCCTTCATTAAATCGTTGTTCAAATTCAATGCATTATCTGTGATGATTCTTTCAGGTGTTCCATATCTACAAATGATTTCTCTTTTTAGAAATCTGCACACTGCTCCTTTTGTGACATTAGCATAAGAGGCAGCTTCAACCCATTTGGTGAAGTAGTCTATAGCCACTAAGATAAAACGATGTCCATTTGAGGCCTTCGGTGAAATTGCCCCAATGACATCGATGCCCCACATTGAAAATGGCCAAGGTGCGTTCATTACATGGAGTGGTGAAGGAGGAACATGTATTTGGTTATCATGAATCTGGCATTTATTACATCTTCGAGCAAATCTGATACAATCTCCTTCCATAGTGGACCAATAGTACCCAAACCTCATGATTTTTCTAACCATTGTGAATCCATTAGCATGTGTTCCATAAACTCCTTCATGGACTTCCTCAAGTATTTTATTGGCCTCAATTCTATCCACACATATCAAAAGCACCTAATCCTTGCCTTTTTTATACAATATATCTCCATCAAGGATATACCCCATTGCTAATCTTCTTAAGGTCCGTTTATCATTCTCAGTTGCCTCCGCTGGGTAAGCTCGATACTTCACATACTGGAGAATATCATAATACCATGGGAGACTATCATCCTCTTCTTCCTCTATGTTGCAACAATGAGCTGGCATTTCTCTTATACTCATCTGAATAGGAATCATTCGAGATTGATCATCGGCCTTAAACATAGCTGCCAACGTAGCCAAGGCATCTGCCATTTGATTTTCTTCATGAGGAAGATAAGTAAAAGAAATTTCTTCAAACTCTTTGATCAACTCCATCACCAAGTTCTTGTATTCTATCAACTTGGAGTCTCGAGTCATCCATTCCCCACGAAGCTGATAAATAACCAGAGCAGAATCGCCGAATACTTCCAGGCTTTTAACTTTGCGCTCAATTGCAGCTTGAATACCCAAGATACATGCTTCATATTCTACCATATTGTTAGTGCATTCAAAGACGAGCCTACTAGTAAAAGGATAATGATCTCCCTCAAGTGAAACTAGTATTGCCCCAATTCCATGTCCCACAGCATTAGAAGCGCCATCGAAGTTCATTTTCCATGCTTCATTTTTCGGAGTATCTTCTTCAGTAACAAATATACTCATCAAGTCCTCATTCGGAAAATCAAATTTTACTGGCTCATAGTCTTCTAATGCTCTGCTTGCCAGGAAATCTGCAATAGCACTTCCTTTAACTGATTTCTGGTTCATGTAGACTATATCAAATTCGGACAACAACATTTGCCATCTCGCCATCCTTCCAGTTAGAGCCGTTGATTCCATCAAGTACTTTAACGGATCCAGTCTTGATATCAACCAGGTAGTATGATACAACAAATACTGTCTCAGCCTCTTAGTAGTCCATACTAAAGCACAACACAGCTTTTCGATAGAGGAGTATCGAGTCTCACAGTCAATGAATTTCTTACTGAGATAGTAAATAGCTCGTTCTCTTCTTCCAGTTTCGTCATGTTGGGCCAACACACATCCCATTGACTTCTCAAAGACAGTCAAATATAAAATCAATGGTTTGTTTGGGATTGGTGGCATCAAGACAGGAGCATTAATTAAGTAACCCTTAATTCTATCGAAGCATTCTTGGCAACTATCATCCCATTCTCCTGGGTTTCGCTTTCTCAGTAATCAGAATATTGGATCACATTTCTCGGTCAACTGAGAGATGAATCTGGCAATATAATTTAACCTCCCCAGAAAACCTCGTACTTCTTTTTGCGTTCTAGGGGGAGGTAATTCCAAAATTGCTTTGACTTTATCAGGATCTATTTCTATCCCATTCTTACTGACTACAAATCCCAATAACTTCCCTGAAGTAGCTCCAAATGTGCACTTGGTTGGGTTAAGCTTGAGCTGGTATTTTCTTAATCTTAAAAACAGCTTCCTTAAGACTTTTACATGTTCTTCTTCGGTTTGTGATTTAGCAATCATATCATCCACGTACACTTCTATCTCCTTGTGCATCATATCGTGGAACAACGTAACCATTGCTCTTTGATATGTTGCCCCGGCGTTCTTAAGTCCGAAGGGCATCACCTTATAACAAAATGTACCCCACATTGTCATAAAAGTTGTCTTTTCCATGTCTTCTGGGCCCATCTTAATTTGATTGTAACCTGAGAAACCATCCATGAAAGAGAAAAGAGCATGACCAGCCGTATTGTCAACCAAAGTATCGATGTGTGGGAGTGGAAAATTATCTTTGGGGCTCGCTCGATTGATATCCCGATAGTCAACACACATCCGAATTTTGCCATCTTTCTTTGGAACCGGCACTATGTTTGCTACCCATTCAGGGTATTTGACTACTTGTAAAAATCCAGCATCGAATTGTTTCTTCACTTCTTCCTTGATTTTTAATAGCATATTCGGTCTCATCCTTCGAAGTTTTTGCTGAACAGGCTTGCAATCTGGCTTTATTGGTAGCTTGTGCATCACAATGTCAGTCTCCAACCCCGGCATATCTTGATAAGACCAAGCAAACACATCTCTATATTCCCGAAGAAGGCTTATAAGACCATCTCTTATTTTTGGTGAGAGTGAAGTGCCAATTTTAACCTCCTTTATATCCTCTTCTGTTCCCAAATTTATTGTTTCAGTTGTCTCTTTGTGGGGTAATATTTGTCTATCTTCTTGCTCCATCATTCTAACAAGCTCAGAGTTTAACTCACATTCCTCTTCATCTTTATAACCCTCAGATTCTTCGAGACACATGTCATTTGCAAAATCAATTTGTGGTTCAAAAGTATCATTACTCGAACAGTTGATATCTGAAGACCTGCGAATCAAAAAGGAGTATATTTGGTTGGGGACAAAAATTTTATCTAATATTTATCAAGAGAATAATTATCAATAAAGAATAAAGAATATTCAAGAAATGAATAAAATACTTGCTAAGATTAGAATGAAAAGAGAACACCGTTTCATTAAAGCAAAGACAAATAACAATTTGTCTTTTACAAAAGCCCTATTATATTTGGGTCAAAAGGAGACAGATTTGTTATTATGCATTACTTTGAAGAGTGCTTATAGAACACAAGGAGTTCTTCAACAGTGTAATTGTTCAAAACATAGCCAGGAGGACACGGACGGATTGATGCCAATGAGCATTCTCCAGTAGAATCATCTGTGATAGCGTTGATGCTCAGGCTTCCCAATAAATCTTCAACAAATTTTATATCTTCACTATCCCATGACTGTTTCAGCGTGTCAATCACAAATCCTCCAGACACAAAAGATTTGGAGAGAGGCGGAATGACCATGGGCCCCCAAACAAGGTCTTCTCCCTTTACTCTTGCCTTCCTCCTTTCCTTAAGCTTTTGTGCATCTTTGACTTTATCATGGTACGTTGGTTTGTATCCGAGACCAAAATAATTTCTTTTAGGAACTGGAGCCGGCCCTTCAGTGATGCCTTGCAGTTTCTTTCCCAAGCCTTTCCCTACCTTTGCTCCTCTAGCTAATGTCTCCTTTAATTGCATCTTTGTATTTTTTGAAAGATGAGGAATGGGAATTCTTTTGCCTTCAGAGATAAAAGTAGCATTAACAAATTCCAAGGACTGGAAAGAGGACTCTAGTGCATTTTCATCTACCCCTACATATGGTGCATCTGTAGTGATAGAGGCAATGATGTCTTCTTCCGCTTTGATGGTCACCAGAGTCCCATCAACAATGAATCGGAGCTTTTGGTGAAGGGAGGAAGGAACTGCCCCAGCCATGTGAATCCAGGGTCTCCCTAGCAAGCAACTATAGCTCGGATGAATATCCATGACAACAAAATCTACTTCAAATGTTGTAGGGCCAATTCTGAGAGGGATAATCATCTTCCCCATTATCTTGCGTTCTGTCCCATCAAATGCCCTTACAGCATTGCCACAAACCCTCATTTGTGATACATCCACAGGAAGTCTATTTAGAGTGGCAAATGGCATAACATTCAAGGTCGATCCATTGTCAATTAACACCCCTGAGACGATGACTCCTTTGCAATGAGTCGTAATGTGTAAAGCCTTGCCCATGCCTTTTCCTTCTTCAGGTATTTCATCATCATAAAAATAAATGAAATTATCTGCATTAATATGGTTTACCATCATGTCCACACGTTCCACTGGTATATCCTTCCCTACAAAAGTTTCATTCAGCACTTTGATCAGAGTATTTCGATGTACTTCCGAATGCAACAGTAGAGATAACATTGAAATCCGTGCTGGGTCTTATGAAGCTATTCCACAATGTTATACTCGCTGTGTTTTAGAAACTTTAAAAATTCCTGAGCCTCCTCAATCTTAACAGGCTCATTCAATTTATCATCAGGATCTTTAATAACCACATCTCTTGCTTTATCAGCCTTTCCAGGAGCATAGCATCTTCCACTCCTGGTGAAAAATCCAACTTCAGCAACCTCTTCCTCCTTACTCTCAGGAGTATTAATTTGGCATGTATAGTCCCAGGGAACACTATTGTTACTCTTGTAGGCAAAAGGCGCAGGGGTTTTGATCACCACCCTAGATGTTATACTTCCACTGCTGGCCTCGTAATTTGGTTTCGATATGACCAGGACATGCTTTTTTAAATTCTTTTCAGCTTCCCTTGAATTTTCCTCAGAAGCGCAGATATATCTTTCATTATCACTCATTATTTCTTCATAGAACTGCAACTCCTGCTTGTTCATTAATTCTTGGACTATTTGCCTGAATTCTTGACAGTCCTGAATTTGATGACCATTTTCACCATGGTATTCACAAAAGTTCTTTGTCTTTTCCGTTGAGCATTCATTTCTAGGGATCAACAACCCTCTCTCCTTTATTTGAGCATATACCCACTTCAGTGGTGTTCTTACTTCTTCAATTCTCCTTTTAATTCTCTGATTTTTCTCAATAGCGTTCACTCACTGATTCTGATGATTTGGAAGCGGGTTTGCAGCAACACAGGGTGCTTCAGAATCATTAAAGGACACCACCTTTCTCTTGATCAGATCTTCAACCACTCTTTTGAAAGCGAGACACTTTTCAATGTTATGTCCTCTGATATTTGCATGATATTCGCATGTCTCATTTTCGTTGAACCATTTTGGATAAGGTGGTTTAATTGGATCAATAAATTTTGGTGACACTACGTGAGCTTGGACTAATCCATGGAAGAGCTCACTGTAAGTCATTGGTATGGGAGTGAACGTCATCCTTTCATTGTTATGCTCGCGCTTAGTCTCTCCTTGGGATGAAGAAGAATTTCCCATCTTCGGCTTACTCAAAGAGAAATTTACATTATTGACCTCTCCTTCTTTCCTTTTCACATAGGGTTTCTTTGCAGGAGTTTGGCTACCGACAATCTGCCCCTTCTTTAATGCTCTCTCGATCATCTCTCCGCACATCACGATATCAGAGAAGCTCTTAGTTGCCACTCCTAACATATGATCAATATAAGGAGATTTTAACGTATCTATAAACATGGTTATAAACTCCCTCTCAATAAGTGGTGGGTGCACTTGAGCATCAATATCCCTCCAGCGCTGAGCGTATTGTCGGAAGGTCTCATTATGCTTCATCTCCATATTTTGGAGAGTAACACGATCAGGCATCATGTCGGTAACGTGTTGATATTGTTCTTTAAACGCATTGGCCAAATCCTTCCAAGACCCTATTTTAGCTCGGGTTAATTGGTTATACCATCTGACAGCTGACCCCGTTAAGCTGGCCTGGAAACAGTGAATTAATAGCCCATCATCCTTCACAAATCCTGTCATTCTTCGACAAAACATGGTCAAGTGAGCAACAGGACAAGTTTTTCCATCATACTTTTCAAATTCCGGCATTTTGAACTTTGGTGGTAATACTAGGTCTGGCACAAGACTCAATTCCTCTGCATTCATTCCGTCTTGAGAACCCTGCTTTCTCATTTCTTTAAAAAACCCTTTGCACCAGTCCTTTAAATGCTCTGGTACTTTCGTTTTAGGTTTCTCCATTTCCTCAGGATCTACATCAATATACTCATAAGGACTGTTTTGAGGGTTAGTCATGGCCATTTGAACCTTTACCGCTGAAGACCCTGTAGGATGCTCAACTAGCTTTTCAGGTGAGATAACTAGTCTCGGGGTAGACTCCTGCCTAGAAACTTCAACAGGGGCAGTGCTTGGTTCTTTAACTGTTTCAGTATGTAACCCAGACATCTTGGTCATCATCTCCTTCATCATATTAGCTTGGCTTTGCAGGATTTGATCTATAATTGACTTTTGTGACTAATCCATCTTTGCCTGCCATTCTTGTTGTATTCTTAGTAAATATTCTTGCATTTGTTTCTTTAATTGATCAAGCTTGGCATCCATGGCTCTACTTCGCGTGTGATAAGGATTGGAGTTTTTACTTGCCAGAATCGTCTGTCACATAACCCTTCAGAAATTAATTTTATTGTTCTTTTAAATTCGAATGCATATTATTGGTAATGTGCTATAAATGATACATTTTATTGGTGATGCATTATAAATGATGAATTTACTTATGCATTATGAATGATGCAAGTGTGAAATGCAAATAAAAGGCGTTGACCCAAGCAGTAACCATTCGGAAATACTTTCATTGGATAAAAAGTTTCACTCATTACAAAGGAGTTCTATTACATATAAGGCCTAGCCCTCAGACTCAGCTCTACAATTTCATTCATAATGGCGATGATCTCCCTTGTATATTCAGAAACCGGATTTGTGCGCAGTTGGATGATCTCCACTCTATTGGCCAGTCCATTCATATACCGAGCCACTTCACCCATTTGAGCAATACCTTCCCCCATCATGCGCTCGCGTTCTTCTACCAAGGATCGATAATGCTCATATGTATTTTTCCATCCTTTATTGATGCGCTTGATTTCTTTTTCTAAACTGGTAATATGAATTCGACATTTCTAGAGTTCACCTTCCAATTCTCTGATTTCCTTCTGGAAGGATTTGTTTTCTTCGAGAGCAACTCTTAGGTCCACTGAAGCGGGAGGAACTTGCACTTGCAGAAGGGATTGCTCAAGGTTCGATACATGACTTTTGAGCTCATCATTCATAGCTCGAGATTGGTTCATCTCCTATTCGAATCTCATCTGTAATTCTCCCATTTCTCCCGTGAGCTCATCTACTTGCTGACTTTTTGTAGAGAATCTCTGCATCCATGATCCAATCTCTGCCCGCTTTCTATCGAGGATTCGATTCCATCCCTGTCTCTCAGACCACATCTCTTCTTTCTTTCGCTTTCTTTCTTCTTCGAGCTCTAAAATTCTTCGATCTTTGTCCTCAAAGTCCTCAATTATACTGTTCATCTCAGTTTTTAACCCCTGGACTTGATTCTTTTCTTCTTCTAATTCTTTCAGGCTGACTTCTTTTTCTTCATGGAGTTTTTGAGCTCTACGAGCCTCAGCTTTATACTGCTTGATCAATTCCTTTTTATCAGCCTCTAGCTCGCATACTTTTACTTTTCCAGCTTCTATATTCTTGATCTGACACTTGTTCTCAATTTCCAGACTTTTGATTCGCCGTCTTGCACCTGCTAATTCTCTGGATCCAAGTCTCTTTCTCGCTTGCTGCACCCTTTGATAATCTTTTTTTAAGTCTTCTAAATCGGCTTCCACCTCCTCTTTCCGTTCTCTCATCATTATAAACTGTCTGGCATGAAATTCAGCCTCGATAGTCAATATGAAGTTTTCTCTCTCCATCTCTTCTATTTTCTTGGAATCTTTAGCCTTTTCCATTTCAAACTCAATTCTTTGGATTTCCAAATTCGAAGGGATATTTCTGATTTGTTCTTCTATCGACCTTGATCCCTCTCCAGATGTTAAAGGTATCTTATCATTTACCCTCTTGATTCTCCAGGCTTCATAATCGGGCGTCAAGATAACATCCGCTCCAACCACTTTAGTCCTGAAAGTCATCCTCCAAGAATCAGTCACATCTTTGATTTTCTTTCTATAATTGCCTTCCTTATAATCAAATTCAGCACCAGTCAACCCATGAGTCACGGGAACAAACTGTCGGGCACCGTACTGTCTCAATATCAACAAAGGAGCGTATCCCACTCCTCCCCACAGTCCCAGTAATATAATCCAGTCCAAATCTCCACACTTGAACAAGATTTGTGTATGCATCAGCCACGGTGTTCGCCATGCTATGTTTTGACTTTGTAGATTCCGGAAGAAATCAATCCATTGATCTTTCTGAGATACTTCAGGCCACTCCTTCGTAAGGTACTCAGCAACAGGAGAATAATCTTTCAA